AAGTTCAAAGTTTAAAAGATTTGTTCTCCGTCCCAAAGGAGAGTCAATAGTGAATTTGGGAACTCTCAAGAAGTGATCTTAAGGAGTGGACTTAGGGAGGGGCCAAACCTCTATACATGCTCCGTGTTCGTTGTGTTTGAATTTCCGTCCTTAACTTATTTTATGTGTGCATTGTTCCTTTCATTTATAAGTCTATTATTGCACAAATTAACATTGTCATTTTTTTTTGTGTTTTGTTAATTCATTTATATTTCTTGCACAAAGATTTGTCAACTATACGGAACACTTCTCTCTTTCCCGTGGCCTTTTTAAGCTCCTGGCTTCTCGTTGGGAGAACAAAACCAGTAGAATATTGAGCTTAAGCATCCAAATAATGGTGCTAGTGCAGTTTTTGAAAATCAAAGTTGACAAGGAGTGACATACTCATTTTTGTTTATTGATGTGTTGGTCCAAATGACGATAGTCAACTTTCTTAAGATTGTTGTTTTTCAGTAGCTCAATGATTGAGCGGTCTACTGTTAACCGACTAATCGTAGATTCAAATCCTTGAAGGTGGCCTTTTTCACTTAGAGAGCTGCCATCGGGAGGATTCTCACTTTGGACAACCTTAGAAATGGGGGCTAGGTTGTGGTGAATTGGTGTTAAATGTGCAAAAGACAGAATAACTAGTAAATCACCTCTTTCGTTGCCCAATGGCAAGAGATGTTCGGTCTTTGTTTTTGCTGCTTTCAGTATGTTTTGGGTGTCTCTTGGTTCTATGGTGGGCTCTATTGTTTATGGTGGAGATTGTGGCACAAAAGAAATAAGAAATCCTCTTATGATGATGAGGAGTACTCACAAGAATTATTGAGGTTTGGGGTTCAGGAATTTGCAGGTTTTCAATTTGGCTCTATTAGCGCAGCTTGCTTGGCGTCTGGAGGTCGGCGATAATTCATTATTTGTCAAGATATTTAAACAGAAATATTTTCTTGATGTGAACTTTCTTGAATCCCGCTGCCCTTGTCGTGCAAGTTGGGTATGAAGGAGTATTGTGTCAGCAAAGGAGCTTCTTTCTACGGGCTTAAGATGGCGTATTGCAACCGGGGACAAGGTTAATTGTTGGTCCCACAATTGGCTCCCTGATCCGCTGAATCCTAGAATTATTTCCCCTAGAAATGGTAGCCTTGTCTCAAAAGTGGCTGACTTAATTGTTCATCCAAAAAATACATGGAATCAGCCTCTGATCCGAAACACTTTCAACCAACGCGATGCTGATTTAATCTTACAAATCCCTTTAGCAGAATTCCAGGACGGTGATCAGAAAATTTGGGGAGTTACTTCTAATCGAAAATTTACAGTGAAGAGTGCTTATAAGTTGGCCATGTAAATGCATTACCGATTTCCTTCATTCTCAGATGATGCTTCTCGAAGCTATGATCAGGAGTTTTCTTCTTTGTGGAAGACTATTTGGAAAATTAAAGTCCCTCGAAAGATTCATTTGTTCTTGGCAGTGTTGTCATGAAAGACTGCCTGTTCTGAGTCAATTAAAGTTTAGGGGAGTGGTCGACAATGATTGGTGTCCAGTGTGTGGTAGAAGAGAAGAATCTATATCTCATTTGTTGTGCTTTTGTCCAACTGCTAGCTTTGTGTGCCGTGTTTGTCCGCTGAGGGTGGACTTTGGTTTTGATAGGCAAATTTCCTGGCAACAGGTGTGGATTTTTCTTCATAATATGTGGGAAGGGGCTGATGATGTTGATGATTACTTTCTTTGGCGTCTTTCATTTGTTGGCAATTGTGGAAGTGTAGGAATGATTGGTGTTATAACAGGAAAAAATGGAATGCTTCTGATATTTTTGGACTGTGTTATGATGCAGTATTATGAATTTCATGATTTGGCGAGACATGATAATTCTTGTTATTTGCCTCATAATGATCCACAACCATTTCTTAGCCGATGGCAAGCTCCCGACATGGGTTGTTTGAAGCTTAACGTGGATGCATCGTATTGTTCTAAGTCTTATGTGGAGGTGGAATGGTGCTGCGTGATCATCATGGTAGAGCTTTAAAGGTTGCTGCTGTATGCTTCCATAACATTGGTAATGCTGAAGTTGCAGAAGCTATCATTCTAAAGGAGGGGTTGAAACTCATGCTTCGCTGGGGCTACAATGGTATTATGGTGATTGAAGGTGACTGTAAAAATGTCATGTCTTTAAATCCTACTAATTGTTTATCTGCTTCTGTGTGTACAGATGTTTCACAATTAGTGCCTCTGTTTTCTAAAATGTCTATTGTCTTGGTGTCCTAGACTTTGTAATGCGGTAGCTCATGCCTTAAGTAGATGGGCTGGCCATAATCAAGTAGGGGAGTTTGATTGGGATGTTTGGCCTCAATGGTTGTTGGAGGCTCTGTCTGTTGATTGTTCTGTTGTGTGATTTTTTTTGCCTGTGAAAAAAAAAAAAAAAGAAAAAAAAAATTTGCAATAAACTATTCTCTCAATTTGGAAAACTAATTTCTTACATTTGAAAATATCTCAATCCATTTTCTCTTTTCGTTCTATTTATAGAGTTTTACAAATATTCTAGAAACTTCCTCTTTCATCTTCCCTACTGGGCCGATCCCTTGGGCTTTTCTTTGGGTAAGGATCCACTTCCTTTCTCTTGAGATTGGCCTGGAGATCGCCTTAACGAGAATGGGGCCTGTTGGGTTGTCATCTGATCGGGTCAATAGGTCTCTCTCGATCCAATTCTCAGTGAGATGGGTCACACTTAGCCCATTTTATTTTTTGCATCTTCACTCCTATTTAATCTCTCAAATGTATATATATATATTTTAGGTCTTCGTTCTTTTGGGTCAATGGGTGAAATTATAAATTATTGAACAACTTTTAATGAAATTAAAAGGATCCTCCTCCTTATATTCTAAACCAGCCCATCAAAAGTGGGGAGTTGGGGGTTCAGTGATAACCAAGTGGGGGAGTTGGGGGTGCAGTGATAGTTTGGGGCCTTTGGCCCAAGTTCGAATCCCACCCCGCCTCCCCCCTTCCCCAACTAACATACTAACGTCGCCAAGTAAAAAAAAAAAAATGGAGTTGATTGCCCGTTTTTTTTTTTTTTTTTTTTCCTAATTAGTACTCACTTGAACCCCTAGCCTTTTTTTGAAAAGTAAAAAATTGATACCGTTATGCCACTGCCTGTTGATTCTGTATTCTCACTCTCATATAAGATTGTGTATAGGTGAGCTTGATGAAATATGATTTTAGTAAATGGTGTCTAACCTTAACATTGTTCTTTAATAATGCAGTTGTGATGGCTAATAACTGAATTTTGCTAAAAATTTATAAAACAAGTTCAATGACCATGACAAATGGTATAAGAGTAAAAAAAAAAAATATCGACAAATGATATAAGAGTCAAAATGTTAATCCATTTTAATAGTGAAGATAGGAATAGGGCCGTGCATGTACGATGAGTCGACGACACTACATGCGTGCGTACGAAAGAGCTACACAATGGAATAACGAGGGAGGCTAAAGCGATCAATACTGTACTGTTATACCGTCCTTCAACAATCTTTTCTACATTAAAGTTTAGTTTTAATATAATAGGCTGTTTAAATTTTAAAAACATTTATTATTAAATAACACAATTGTTCATTATCCAAATGAACGACTCCGAGTGAGTTTGTTAAATTTTTTTTTTTAACCAAGATAGATATTTATCAGGAAGTTTTTTTTGTCAATTTTTCTCCTGTATTAGCTTTCAAACAATTAACACCAAATGATCTGCAAAAACAATCAATCTCTTAAAAAGAAAAGATTCAAATAAACGGATAAACATCAAATAAACGCATGCTCTGTTTTCCACTACAAGGAGTTGGTACATGTATTGGTAAAGCTCAATGATCGGTCTCACCCCAGACGAAAAAATAAATATGATATTATGAACACCATTCAATTAGTCTCCCGTTTGTTTGAAAAAAATAAAAATAAAATACCCCATTTTATGCATGTGTGAGTACCACCGACTAGGAAAAAAAAAAAAAAAATTCCACCAAACGGTAACATGACATATATATATACACACACACATGCACACACAGACACGCATAGGAAGTTTGTAATTGTAATACAAAGGCCATAACTGTAGTAGAAAACTTCATGAGAAGGATATCACAGGCAGTATCCTTTTCATATAATTGGGTGTTGTGTCAGTGTGAGGGTGTAGATTAATTACTGAGGCGTTCCATCTACCTTTTACCCAATGGTCCTAAACATATTGAGTTCCAACTCCAAACTATTTCATAAATTTGAAACAAAAATCATATAGGTTTCCCTTTGATTCTTTGTTCCAATGCCCAGAAAGTCAAATCAAGATCGAAGCAGCCTCCGACTCTCTTTCCTTCCCTACTAGTAAACTACAAGCTAAAAAAAAAGAGGTAAAATTTTGATTGATTACCAAAGCTTATCTCGAAAATCCTAATAGTCAGAGCAGCAGGACATTGCAGGTTCTTTCACCTTAGAGACCAGGTTATAGCTCATCCTGCAAACAGAAAAACAAGAGCAAGAGCAAATAAAATAAGAATTGCGGTGGATAGAGAGAGTAGCGATTTGATCAAGACAGTAGAGCAGAAAGAAGTCTTACGTGTTTATCCTCATCCTCACTGTCTGTACCATCTTTCTTGTCTTCGGCATCATCTCCTCCTGCATCGTCACCATCAGCATCACCTGGAAAACAGATTGACAACAATTAGGACTCGGATAAAGTTACAAGTTGGATTCTTTAAAGAGAGGTTTATCGACTTACATCAGAATCAACTGGATCCTTTGAGTCCTGATAGACAATCAAATTCAGGAGTTAGGACGGATATAATCAAACATCTACTTCAGTGAATTAAAAAAGAAACAGATAATGCTTCAAATCTGATGCAATATTAGAAGCTCATAAGCGCTTAAAAGCAACTCTCTTCCAATAATTCAGGAATTAAATACTAGAGAATATAGTTAAAAAAAACTAAAATTGATCCTCAAGACATTGTCAAACATCGTTCCAGATTTTACCTGAAAATGCATATATACTTGGTTATAGTTCCAATTGCCTAGTAACAATAACATAACACATATGAAGTGCACCACTGGAGTTACCTGCCACAGCTCAATTCCAACGTACTTCAATTTTGGGAAAACATAGAGATCCGGATCATCTTTGAAGTCTGTATGTAATAGAAATTTTTAGTTTTGGTGAATTTGAACTCAATGATGTTACCATAAAATATATCAAGGCTTTAAAGAAGAATGGACAAATACCTGGGTTGTCAATCATAGGTGTCTTCAGCGATTTATCTAAATTGGGACAAAAAAAATAGGTAATATTTATTACCTCTGGCTTCTTATCTTCTGAATCGGGAATGTATTCTTTGTCATCCCAATCTTCAGGCTGTCATCAGTATGTAGCTGAGTCAATATCATAATTCAAAAGAGAAAGAGAAAAACAATTAGAAACCTTATTAGTATTGAGCAATTACTTTATTGGCCTCTGGGTCCTTAATTTTCTTTGGTGGGAGAGGATCCCAATCAGAGTACAGACTACCAGATTGCTTCCCCTCGTTATCAATGAGGATGCTGCAGGTAGCGTTAGGGCGGAGGATAAATGTGTAAACATGAGTCAGCTGGTCAGTCTCACAAGGAACATCCTTTTTAATCAACTGGTTTTTCCCATTATAAGTAAGAATGGGCGATACTCGAATCTCAAGAGTCTTGGGGTGAAGAAATTTGGTGGAGAGGTGAGATGATGTTGCTTTAGTTGAAAAAAGAAGCAGAAAATGAAGGGAGAAGAAAAAATCCGATGTTATCGTATATTGCCTACTGAACCTTATTTATTGTTGTGATTTCTGTTCATCATGCAGAGAGTAATTCCTGGGACTATCATTGTTCGTAAAAGAGGCACCCGTTTCCATCCAGGAGATTATGTTGGCATGGGGAAAGATGATACCCTGTATGCTCTAAGAGAAGGCTGTGTCGAATTTGAACGCCACAAGTTGAGTGGTCGCAAGTGGGTGCATGTTGAGCCCAAGGAAGGCCATGTGCTTCACCCTGTCTACTCAAATGTTGCAGCTCCTAAGCTGAAGACGGCTGCCTTAGTACGTATCTTGTTATCCATCCAAGTTAATTATGAAATGCAACCGCAGTGGCCTTCGTATCTGATGGACTTGGTAGCTAGTATTTTCATGCTCCACTTGGCTCGGGGGGATATAGCTCAGTTGGTAGAGCTCTGCTCTTGCCATAAACATGGAATGATTTGCAGGCTAATACAATACCTTCGATCTCTGCCCTATTTTTTTTTTTGGGTGGTAAAATTTATCTTTTGGCAAAGCCTGTTTTCATCTTAAAAAACGTATGGCATGTTACCGATACTCGAATTCAGGAAAGCTGCAGTTAAGTCTCCGATCATCTATTGAGCCTCTTTTCAAACATGTGCCTGTGTGATTGTTTGGACATAAGAAAGGTCTGGGTACTTCATGCTTTTAGTTGTGGTTGAGTCAAGGAAGAAAAGGAAACAGAGGGAAAATGAGAAGGCATAACACACTTCATATCAGGCATGTATATTTGTAACAAAAATATGAAGATAAATTAACTGTCATGTACAAATTTGAAAAAAAAAAGGGAAATATATTCACAGTGGATTTGTACAGATTATCAGCTAATGTGGAATAAAACAAGCTTTGACTATCCACACTTTCGAAGAGGACAACCGTAACAAAGAATGCAGAGAATCTCTTAGAGTTGCAGCCGTGTTACCACTAAAGAAGACTGAGGGTTTTAATTTCAAAGGAGAATGTCGTTTGCGATCATGATGTTGTTGTGCATAAGCCTACCTGGCACAAAAGCTGATCGATGTCAGATTCAAAAGAAGTGGATGAAGTCTATTTGCCAAAACCTTCGAAAAAATCTTATACATAATGAGATTGGGCTGTACTGACAGATCTTTGTAGGAGAATTTACCTTAGTAGTCAAGACTATATTGTAAAAACATAATCTGATCTCATGAAAACTGTTGATGATTCCTTTAGTGCCTCTAGTTTCTCCTCCAATTCCTTAATCCTTTTTCCACAATTACATTCTCTGCTCGTACACCATTGTTTAATATTCTCCTTACAAATTTTAATTTTCTTCTTCAACTGAGATTGGATAGAGCCATAAATTGGTGGTCCCCATGCATTCTTGACAAATCTCACCAAAATTATTCTCATGTAACCAACGAGCATCAAAATGAAATTGTTGTTTTGCCCCGAACTGTTTGAGACTCTGTTAGCGATAACAAAGCGCTATGATCCGAACCAGCAACTAAAATTTGCTGCAATTCAGTACTTTCTAAATTCACCAATCCACTCCACACTACCCAATTCTTCACATTTGCATAACCATCCCTATTGTTAGACCAAGTGTATTAAATATCCTTTATAATGCAAATCCACAAGACCGCAATCATCCACCAATCTTTTTAAGCTAGCCAAAGTCCAAGCCGCACGAGTTCTACCACCTAATTTTCCCCCTACATGTAAGAGATCATTGAAGTCACCCAACATCACCCAAATCAGATCAGAGGGATGCTAGCGATAGTCGACTGCCGCTGTCAGTCGTGTGAGGTGTCAGCAGGCCAATATTGGCTGCTGACTTTTGCTATTTTTTATTTTTTGTTTTTTGAGCCTCACGCGTTTTACAATTCTTTAGAAAGTGCATATTTTTACCATTATAATTATTACTGGTCCATTAACATATGCATGATGCCCAATGCATATTTTCATTTCACTGTTAAAAGTTTTGATATGAATTCTGATGTAAATTATTAGATTTTTTAGAATTATTTTAAGGCCATAACAAATTTGAAATATTGGCTTTGGAAAGTTAATAAAATCTATATTTTTGTAATTATATTTAATGAAAATAATTCTCATAAATTAAAAGAATACCAGTAGGTCAGGTATTGGCCAGGTGGCAGCTCCGGAATTGATAAATAAATATCATAGAAAATTGATATGTAATCTAATTGTGAGTGTGAGTGAAGAGTAATGTCATCATAATATTTGCAGTTGAATTGATGACATTAATGCTTACCTCACATAAAAAGGTCTCGAAAAAAAAAAATAAAAAACAAACATATAGCGTTACAATATATATACGAGTATTTCTCAGCGCCTTTTTTTTAAGGCTCTTTGCAAGTTGTTGACCCAAGGTTTTTAACCAAGGGTGCATGAGACATTTTAGTGATATCAAATCATTGAAGGTGTTAAATTTAATGTTTACTTGAATTATACTTAAACATGTTATATATATAAGAAACTCGAGAGAGTTTATGGATCAATAGTAAGGCCAAGAAAGATTGTATACTTAAAGGATGAAATCTTCAAGTTCAAAAATACATTGAAGTCAAAGATAGAATATCAACTCAAAGCATAAAGAAATTGAAGATTAAAGAATAAGGTCTTAGTGAGTGCTAGATTAAATTGTAAAGTTATTTTTCAAGCAACCTTATTTGGAAGCTCGACTCCTGATTTAGTGGACTATAAGACTATGCATATATATAATTAATATCATTCATAAGTTCTTAAATCTTTTGCAATATGCTATGAAATTCATTAAAAATAAAATTAGTATGTGAGGCCTTAGCTGAGGTTGAGCTAGTTCAAGCTTTCATAAAATTTGAAAGAACTCATAACTTCAAGCTACAAAAACTAACACCATGTAGTTCAATCATACCATTTCAATTGATCTCTAGGATTATTTTGTAAGACTTTGAACTTTGTTATTTCAATGTTCAAAAGTCTTATTCAAATATTGAGAAAATCTTCAAATTAAAATATTTTTCAAAATCTCAATTTTATTCACTTAGAAGTCACTGACTTTGAACCAATTTGATTGTACTATATAATGTTCCTAGACCTTCAATAATATACCATGAACTTAAATGATTCATTTTATAAGACCTTAGTTACCTTGAGTTGAGTTAAACTCTAGGACAATTGCTTAATATGAAACAAATCCTTTTGAGGTTCATAGACATTCACTTAGGCCTTGGACTATATATATATTCGTCTTCTGTAATGTCTTAATCCTAGTCAAGATGAACTAGAGATTACATGTGTTACATAACTCAAGTTATCTTTCTACGCAATAACTAAGTCATTATATGAAATCTAGAAACTGAAAAATTGCTAAAAAGGGATTCCATCCATACGATCGTCAACTGTCCTTTAAAGAGAGTTTATTGTATGTCACCTACTCTCTCATCCCAAATTTAGTTGTCTATCTTTCATTTTTGGGTTGTCCCAAAATACTTGTACACTTAAAAAGTTCAAACAACATATTTCATATCTTTTCATAAAATTCTCTTGATTTCAAATTTAATTGTATATATATTCAAACTTGAAAAAGGTAGCTTAGTAATTTTCAAAGGGGGTAATGGATTAATTACATGCCCCTTAAAAAGTTATACTTTCAAAAAATGACATCTATTATAGTAGGGGTGACAAAATGGGTCACAACCCATCAATCCACCCATATCTGCTCACTTTTTAATGATTTTGGGTGAATAAGAGTTTCTCTCTCTAGAAATTTTTTCTCTTTCTTTCACTTCTCTCTCTCTCTAAAACGAGTCGATAAATATTACTAGTTTGCGATTGTTTTTTTTTATTTGTTATTAAATAAAATTTTAAAACCTTTCGAAAAAAATAATAAAAAAATTAAAAATTAAAAAATTTAAATTAAAAATAATTTTTAAAAAATAATTAAATAATAATAATTAATGGGTCCACGGGTCATAACAGGTTGACTCTATATATTTTTGACCTGCCCATTTTCAACCCAAACCAAATCCGTCCATTTGCCACCCCTATATTATAAAATAGAGGGAGTATTTCATGAAAGAGTCAATTGTCCCTCAATCACTCAATCAACCAGCGTCAACTCTAAGTGTCCTAGTTGATATCCAATAGTTTCATGTTACAGTCAGTTGTCCTTGGTAGTTTTCAAAATGAAACAAAAGGGCTATATAGATGACCATTAATGGAAATCAAACTATCACTTGAACACTCATTGATCAAACATTCATTTATCTTCTTCTTATTTGAGCTTTCATCTTGTTTCATCTTAAATTACTCTAACCTGTGAGCTTTGACTTGTATATTTTATCTTTGAGAGATACCACTATTGTACTTCAAATCTTCATTACTTCATCTTGTAAAAAGGTCGGTGCAAAGTGAAGGACAAATCACTTAGGAAAGGAGTTTGTGAAATTCAAAGTGTAAAAGGTTCGCTCTCCATCCGAAAAGAGAGTCA